AGGAGGATGAGGAGGGAAAAGGGGGATAGGAGGTTGAGGAAGGGGGTTGATTGTGGTGGGAGGAGTTTTTTTTATTTTTATTTTATTTTTTTTTTTTTACCGCCTACGCCTAGCGCCGAGTATTTTGCTGCTGCTGCTGCGACGGAGGGGGTGGAGTTGACTAGTACGGGGGCCGGGCCTACGGCGAATGGGAATGGAAGTGCGTAGGTGTTTTGACTGCTGCTGGGTTGCAAGGTTTTTTCGCGTTGTACATATAACATCATCATACCATACTATCGTAACCATCTTTTTTTTTTTTTTGGTTTGGGATGGAAGAATGATGGTATGGTATGTTACCTACTATAAAAAAAGAGATGGCTGAACGCAAGAAATAAAGGGAGATGAGAGGGGAAAGAAACTAGTTTAGCTATATATTGGTGTTGGTGGTGATGTTGTAGTTGGGAGGGATGGATGATGAGTTGGAACCTGGAAGCATAGCGGGCGAGCAAAGAGGAAAGAATATGAAGTTTAATGTGTACTGTGTCTTAATTTGTTTGTTTTGTGGTGTCAAGAGTATGCATGCATGTTTGTTGTGGTGGTGCCCCCAGGCAAAAGTTGGTGACATGGTGAGATGTTGAGATGTGGAAAGGGGTGATGGGTAATGTTGAAAGGGGTGGGTGGTTTGCTGAGTGTGGTAGAGGGGGCTTGATGGGCAATGTGGTACGGGGGTGATGTGAAAGGAGAGCAGTGCACCCCTTGATTACCTACCAGGTGGGCAGGCAGGACTTATCGCCAACTGTGCTGCTACCTTTTACATAGGTATCTCCAGGTCGGTAACAGTCTGGCTGTACAGCAATTGGGGACCTGCTTGATGGAAAGAGGGACCGATGTAACGGCATTGTGTTTGAGGGCAACGATTGGCGGAAGAACAGCATCGTTTTTGCTGCTTGAGAGTATTTAGCCGCGAGCCTCTTTTCGTTCCCGTCATGGCTTGTCCCCTTGCATGCAGGCAGTGACAGTGACAGTTGACCCCTCACTCACCCCAAGCCGGTCGACGACGATGATGTATTCTTCCAGACCGTCTGATTGAGTTGTCGTCCGTAGCCGGATAGCGGCTAGATGGACAGTCGCAACATGGTTCTCCACGTGGGGGGATGGTCTAGACAGGGAATATATACCCCCAATTGATAGCCCTCTCCTCAACCACCTGTTATCACCCTCCATTCTCTTTGCTCTCCTCCTTGCCATCCATTTCTTTCAACAACATCAGCATCATGACCTCCACCCCCCCCAGCCCCCAAGGCCTGAACCTAGGCTACTCGCACCCCCACCCCTTCTCCCTCATTTCACTTTCCACCCGCTCCTCCGTCCAAGCGTTGCTGACCTCCCTCCTCGACCCCTTGCTGCCATTTTTCTCGCCGCTGAAATCCCGTATCAAGTGCCCGGGCGCCACCGCGGTGAGGTTTGATCAGTCGGCCTCGGAAGTGGAGGGCATATGCCGCCCGCTGTGGGGGCTTGCGTGCTTGCTGGCGGGAGGGGGGGGGTATCATGCGGCAGAGTACTGGGTGGGAGGG